CGCATGAAATGTCTCAAATGTTCAAAAGCCAACTATACTCCGGAAAAACCCCTATATAAATTGAAAATCGTCTTCTTTGGGGAGGGGTGTCAAGCACTACATCATCACATACTCCACCATTAAATTTTCCTTGAACAAATCTCAACAAAGCTATCGACACGCCAAATATTTCCACATCTCAAAACCTCTTCTTAAATGTTTTGTGTAATAACCTATCACAAAATACCTAATATACTGTGTAAGAAGATATCGTATTACAAAGATAACTTTTGCTTTTAGATTAAAATATTTTTTTTTAATGTCGTATTATAAACAACAAGAAAAAAATTGACGTGTTTTTTGTTCATTTTTTTGCATCTAATATGTAATGGGAATTAACATAGGAATTCCTTGTGGAAATTCCCCAGTAATTATTACATCATGTTTTCTATAAGTTTGATGTTAAACCTGAATATATTTTATCTTGACTTTGAGTGAAAAGCAATTTTTTAACTTTTAAAATAACAAATTGGCAATATATTGCTTCGATAAAATGAACCTATCTTGGTTGTTCTTATTTGCCTGCATATCCATATTAAAAACATTTTCAAAATCAACATCAGACGAACAATTATCGTGCAGAAAAAATGAAGAAGGCTTGTATATGTTTAATACTGCTGCTGGGCCGATCTCATGCGCTCTTTGTTCGTGTAATAGTGATTTAAAACAAGATGTTTCATATGAAAAATGTGAAACATGTTGCTGCGAATACGTTAGCAAGACAAAAATAAATGACTTCAAGGATTTTAAAGTAAAAGGTTTGTTTATTACTTGATAACTAATAATATAGTGTTAACTAAACTCGTTTGAGGTTTATTCTGTTGTAAAAAAAACTTAAAATTTAAATTAATGACTCTCTACTCCTTTTCTTTAACTTATTTTTTTACGCTGCAGCAGCAGATACACTGCTGCTGCAGTAGAAACACAACGCAACTACAGAAGTAAAAAGTAGTTTTACAGCATATCCCAGCATAAAGATAAAGAAATAATTTTTTCAAAATATGTTTACAATTGTTGAAATATGTTTACAATTTTTTTTTATCATTTTGATAAACAACTTTTTACTGCTGTGATCGTTTTGATAAAACTAAGAGTTTTCAAACTAGTTGCAATCTTGCCCCTATTTTCCTTAATATTAATTAAATGAAAATTTTTATATTTTTTCTAGATGAACGACAGTTATCAAAAATGAGAAATTATTTTTATGGCTCACTAAGTTTTATTGCTCTACTTTTATTCGTACTTGCTTTAATGTTTATATACCACAGAAAACATTCTTATAGTTCCCGTAAGTTTTTCTTTTTTGAAAGCATTTAAAACTAACAAAAAAATGAAACTAATTATTAAGTCACGTGATTGTGACTTTGATTCTATTTTTATATGTAAAATTATTTTTTCAATTTGATTTTAGTGTATATATTTTGCGTAATTCATTTTAGGTCCGCCTTACCAAGCAGATGAAAAAGGAGAATTTATGAACGAAATAAAAATAGCCACCAACGTTTAATAAAACATTTTTGTTTTTATGATATAGTTTATTTATAGTATGTGTATAAAATCCTTATGTAGATATTTATAAGATAATGTATTTAAATATATTTTTAAGATCATAGTAAACACTTTTCTTTTTTTTTTGATGTTCGATGCAAGGATATTTACTTATACCACTCCAATTGTTAAAACTTGATAAATATATCAGTGATTTCGAGATATTAATCCGGATCATAATTTTCAAAAAAAAAAAAATCTCTATATTAACATTAAGAACACATCGGGGGTACTTCAAAAAGTAACTTTCAAAACGAATCATTTTAAGAAAATTTTGAGGAGATGTCCAATACAACAATCTAACTTGAAACTTCCCTAAGAAATTTCCTAAAAACCAAGTTAGTAAATTTGCTTACGACGTTCTTTTTGCTAATGTTTTTCTATATTTAGTTGGCTTCTAAGTGTATTTTCTTACTAGTAATTTGTCTTACTAGCAATTTTATTGGTTTCTGTAGAGATAGATAGATAGATAGAGAGAGATAGAGATAGAGAGAGAGAGAGAGAGAGAGAGAGAGAGAGAGAGAGAGAGAGAGAGAGAGAGAGAGAGAGAGAGAGAGTAAAGTTTAGCATAAAAGAATGTTATTAAGAACTTTTTTTTTTTTTTTTTTTTGCATTTTTTATTAATTTAGTAAGAGAGTGAAAATTATTTAAATTGCGCAAAAGTTAGGTTTTAATATATAAAAAATTTCTTGCGTAACTCTCTCAACTTAAAGTTTTCTTTTATGACAAAATTTATCAATTGTAGCGAAAATAAAATTAGCTTTGCAACTATTGTTGTACAACGAAATCATATAAATGAAGTTCAACATTTCTATAAATTAGAAACCAGACTTTAATAAAGTTGGATTTTTTACATTAATGTTTATATGAAATTAAATCGTATCATACTTATGACATGTGAGGCGCTCTGCAAATAAATAAATAAATAATATGAAAAAAATAATGTTTTATAAAGCATATTTTGTATATTTTGCCTACAATAAATCTTTCTAATTTTTTAGTTTTTATTATAAATTTGATAGTTTAAGCGATAGTTTTGGTCAACTTAACTTATTTACAATTTCAATTCAATTCAATCCAATATATATGTTCTGAAATAAGTTGTAAAATTTCAAGGACTTTTACAAATAGTACAAGTACTAATCTAAAGTAAAAACCTGCAACATTACTATAAAAGTGATCATAATAACAATAATAATAGTATTGATAATAATTATAGAAATAATATTAACTATAATAATAAGATGACGATGAAGAGGAATATTATTAGTAACAATACTAACAATAATAATAAAGATTATATACAATCAATATTAGATAATAGCAATAATAGTGATAAAAACAATTACATAGTATAAGTAGTAAATAAAAAAAATTAAAAAAAGCAATAATAATACTTATTATGTTATAAATAAAAATAACAGTTTACTAGTAAAGATAAAAGAATATTATTAATATCAATACTAATAATAATAATAAAAATATGAGAACAAAAAGTTAATAATAAAACTAGTAGGTATCAAGAGAGTTGTAATAATAAAAGCATAACAACATATTTCAGAGGCTTCAGGTAAAATATCTTGCTAAAAAATAGTTAAAAAGACAGTTTTTGAAATTAGTAATTGAGTCAATTGATTTTAATGGCGAAGGTAGACTGTTCCATGATTTTACACTTTGGTATTTTATGGATTTTAGACCATATTTTACAGAAGAATGATTTGGTACATGAAGATTATAGCTATTAGCAGATCGTAGATGATAGCGACAGCTTTCTCTAACAGTAAAAAAAATTGTAAATGTGCTGGATAGACATTTTTGTTTATAATTAAAGACAAAATGGCAATTTAATATTTGAACTAGATCATCAATTTTGAGTATTTTGGATAAAAAATAAAGATGATCGGAGTTAGATTGATAATGCTGAAAATATATTATTTTTAATGCTTTGTTTTGTAAGTTAAATAATCTTAAAATTTCTTGGGTGCGGATTTGTCCCCAAACTTGACATGCATACCTAAGATGTGATCCAAAAATGGCATGGTATATATTGGTAAGAGTTTCAAGATTGACACAATGACGAATTTTAGCTAACATCCCATTCGATCTACATAGTTTTATTGACAAGTCCTTAAGATGTTGAGAAAAAGTTAAATTTGAGTCAATTTTGATTCCAAGATACTTTAGGTACATAACTGGATTGATTTTTTGACCACTCAGCCTAAAATTTAGGTGTTTACTGATTTTAGATTGTTTTGATTTAAAGATGATAACTTCAGTTTTACTAGTGTTCAGAGACAGTTTGTTAGATCGAAGCCTTTGAATTAGATTAGATAGATCATGATTAATATATTTGTTTATTTTTTTTTTAATGATTTGTTAATTAAAAGTAAGTTAGTGTCATCAGCAAAATAGTAGGAAGTTGTATATTTTAATGATAAATAAAGGTCGTTAATGAAAACAAGGAAAAGCAATGGTCTTAATACAGAGCCTTGAGGTACACCTGTAGTGCATTTTACTAAAGAAGATGTGTTACCGTTAATAGATACAAATTGAAACCTATTATAAAGATATGAGGTAAACCATTGGAGAGAAATTCCTCTAATACCATAGTATTCCAGTTTACTTAGAAGAATAGAATGATCAACAGTGTCAAATAGTTTCTGTAGATCAATAAACACACCACAAGCAAAAAGCTTATTGTCAAGAGCTTTTCTGATAACCTCAGTGATTTCAATAAGTGCATGAGTTGTGGAATGCTTAAACTTAAATTTGAAATATTATCAACTTAAATTTGAAATATTATCACTTATGTGAAAATCCACATTATTACATAAGGTATCATATATTATCATTTTGGTGAAACGTTTCGAAAAATGTTTAAAAATATAAGTTAGGATAGACTGTAAAATTTTTTTCAAAAAATTCTCGACCCTTTAAAATTTACAGCAACTTGAAGTTAGTTATTTTTTGACTGAAAAAAGAGGGGGGATAAAGCCGGAAATATGTCAATTTACCATTACCCTTTTAACAAACTTGTAGTAATGTTGCGAAGCTAAAACTTGGTACCAAAGGAGTTTAAAACCTGCTGAATCTGAAAATCATAAACTTATATCCAGGGCCGGCGCGAGTAGGTGTCACGTGGGGGGGGGTACCATTACAATTTTTGCCGACTAAAAAAAAAAAAAAAAAAAGTTCTCGGTTTCCAAAATTTGCCGACTGCCATTACGACATTTGCCGACTGTCTAACCTATATCAAAAGGGTCGACATTTGTCGACTAACCAGCCGATTTGCCGACTAAGGACCCACACCCCCTATCGCGCCGGCCTTGCTTATATCTCTCAAAACAATAAAATATAGTTTATTTTCAGAACCACAAAACGCAGAGTAGGTACAATCGGCGGGGCGGGGCGGATCAGCGGGGCGGATCATTCAAGTAACGCGGCACATTTATAGTTTGATTTCTGCAAACAAATTCAACCTAACCAAACACATTGCTAAATTTGTTTAAAAAAGAAATGACTGTTCCAGTTTTGACAGGTTGTTTAAATCATCTTAAGATAGAGGTTATTGTAAGTCTTATTGCGAAGAGCATTAATGAAGATAGACCAACTACTCTTAACAATCCTAAGGCAGGCGAAGTTTATGTTATACAAGTGAATCATGGAAAAGGTTAGGCAGCAATATTTCAGTACACTTTTAAAGTATTTGTATTTTGTAAATATATTTGTATACTAAAATAGTATAATGTAGAATATAGCATAGTTATTGGGTTATATTAGTAAAAATCAATTACTATGCTTTAAATTACTTAAGGCTATCTTCTATCTTACTTAATAAGTAAAGTTTTTACTTTAAACACATTAAAAGAAGTTATACTTGTAATCTTGTAATCTACAGTGTATATACTGTAGACTAAAGTCTACACTGTAGGTTACATCTACACCGTAGATTACAATCTACATGTAGACTGTAGCCTACATGTAGTCTACCAGACTGTATATTTCTTTTAATATGTTTAAAGTAAAATCTTGCTCTATAGCAAACTTACTATAGCAAACTAACTTTAATTAGGCATAGTTAATCGTTTACTAAAGCCTATGCTACAGTACACCAAGGTATTTTATTATTAAATATAAAACTTTTATATTTAATAATAAAATACCTTGGTGTACTTTAGTAAACGATTAACTATGCCTAATTAAAGTTAGTTTGCTATAGTAAGTTTGCTATAGAGCCATTTTACAATAATAAATAATTCATTAAACAAATTATAATAGGAAAGATAATTTTTAGCTTCAAAATAATATTGCATATTGAATGACATCTTGAAAATATTTAATATAATATTAAATGACATTTAGATGCCCTTTTAATAAAATTTTGAAGCTAAAAATTATCTTTCCTATTATAATTTGTTTAATGATTTATTTATTATTGTAAAATGGCTCTATAACAAACTTACATGCTTATGTAAGTTACATGCTTTATGCTTTTTTATGCTTTATGCCAATATTGACATTATATAAAAAAGATAATGCAATATAAGACATGATATAAAAAATAATCTGCAGATTTTTACATGACCTTTTTTATATATGGAATTTAAAAGTATCTGTGTTATGATTTTAAAATGTGAGCGCCAATGTGCTTTCATTGTACTTGCTTAAAAATAGTTATATATTATAATAATATAGTAACTGCTGTATTATTAAAAATATTATTATAAATTATTAGTAGTAGAAGATACAGTGTAGCTATGTGTTAATAGCGAGTGAATTAAAAGCTCATTTTTGATAATGTAGGTATATACCATTAAAAAGAATTAAAAATTTAATTTAAAATTGCTTTAAAAGACTCAAAACCAATAGTAAATTTTGTTTGGTTTTTTTTTTCCTTTTTATTGGTATTAAGATTTTTTATTAGTATTAAAATTTTTTATTAGTATAAAACTTATTAAGTTATTTTTTTTAATGCTATGATATGGAATATCAAAGATATGGTTATCAAGGCCAAAATCCTGGAAAAACATGTCTATATGATGGAATAAATGCTGGATTTGAGTGGACACCCTGTTCAATGATGCTCTTTCTCTTTTAGACAAAATGCAAAAACACAGTTTAAACATAGTTGGATCTGCTCTTGCAGCCAACCTCTAACCATTGTTACATCCGCGTAATGTTGCCTCTCTTTCTCTTATCTATAAATACTTTAACGTGAACATACCTGCTCACTATTTTGTATATGGTTTTTGAAAAAAAAATGTATAAAGAGGCTTACATAAGAGTCAACTGGTTTACTCTAACAAGAACATATTTGAATTTTAAGACACGTAAGCTAACAAGCAATAGACAAATGCAGCACAATGGAAGTTTTTTAAAATGTGAAGCTTTTTCAACGTATAATCATAAGGAAAATTTAGTTCATTTAAAAATGCAGTACTGTTTCTTTAATTATTGTACCTAAATAACATAGAACTTACATCAGTGAGGACTTCAAAGGTATTGTTAATTAATATAATTAGCCTACAAAAAGTTCAATAGCATTAATAATTTAACAATAAACACAGAGTAATTACTACCTAGATAGAAAAAATTTGTGTTTATTGTTGATAATAAAGTTACATTAAGGTAGTACTTAACTTTATTATCAATCTTATTTAATATATTGTCAATATTATTATTTAAATTATTTTAAATATTATTGAATGTTCAACATAAATATTATTTATTAATATGTTATCGTTCTAACTATATTATCAATCTAAATTTATTACTATATCAATCTTAATCATTCTACTAATACAACTTTGGCTTGCTTAATCATTTATCTTAAAATAAATATGATTTGACAAATGCTCTCATGTTTCTTTGTAGCTTAACCTGAGTGCAGTTTTTGCCCTCATGCTATGCACATTTAGTGCCAAGAAGTTGGCAAGCAAAAGTGTCGTATAAATGTCGATTTATTTTGTAAAATTACTACATAAAAACCAAAACGCTAAAATAAATAATGTCCATGGGATTTCAGTTATGGTGGCGCCTTTGATCTGTAATAACGCGTTAAATGTTTATCTATTTGTATATCTTTGGTCAATTGAAGCAATAATTCATTATTCATTATGTATTTAAATGTATAAGTGCATGTCTAAAAAAGTTTCCACATTGTTTAACAGCTTTTAAATATAGTCTTCTACTTTTTCTTTGGCTTTTTCTTATTATTATTATTGTTAAAATTTTATTATTATTATTTCTTTTTTGATGAAAATTTTATGTAGTTTTTTATTCATAGATACAGTGAATAATGATACTATTGAACTGGCGTAATATTATAGAGAAGAAGAGTGGAAGAGCACGCCTCTCTCCTTGTTAACATCTTTTTGTAAATTCCAGATTTTTTTTAAGGAAAATAATTAAGGAAAAAAAATTTCCGGATTTTTAAAAAATGGTCAGGATAATCTATGCATAATAGTTGAGGATGTAGCATGGCTACAAAGTATATATGACATCATGCATATTAATTAGGGATGTACCGAAGCTGAAATTTTGCCGAAGCCGAAGCTTCGGCCGAAGCCACTTTGCCGAAGCCGAAGCTTCGGCACTATATATGCTTAAAATTTATTCAGCATTCAGATCAGCAGGGGTGTAAAACAAAAAAGGTACCAAAACTAAGGTCTTTGACTAATAATATAGAAAAATCGTATAAAAATGAGGACGCCAGTCAGGGTTGCTGTTCCAGGCAGGGCAAAAGCTCTCAGCGCCCCTGTTTAAAAGTTTCTCATTATGTCGTTTCTGATACTTGACCGCACCGAGCGTTTTTTTTTTAAACTTAAACTTTTTTGAAACATTCTCCCCAAATTTTCCTACTTCTAGTTCTACTTTTTCTGTGTGCAAACCATATTAATGTTATATAGCATCATTTCATGTGCTGTATATTTTATTTTTATTTTTAATGCACCTTTTGAAAATAGAAGTGGATAAAAATCTCTGAACATTACTAGAGTAATTTTATCTTTTGCACTTGATCACTCTTTCTTTAAATAAACACTCTTAGCTGATCTAGTTATATCTACAACATAAAAAATCTTACAAACACACTTTATCTTTTTATTGCTATTTATTTCAATATCTTTTTTTTTACTTCTCTGCATTCTTTAAACGAACAATTTCTAAACTAAAAAAAACCCAAGTTAAGACCATTTTGGATTCCACTACAGCTGTTGTGAACCTGCTGCTAAAAAAAAGTACAAATGATAGATTTCTCTCTAACTTCTTTTTTACACACTTTTAAGTGGTTTTTTTTTTTGATTATTTTTAACTTTACACTGCATAATATTTTCTATAGCTTCTTTTAATCTTTTACACTTTGAAATCTTAGTATTCATTCTTCTTCTGTCTTTGTAATGGATAAATCTGCATCAGTATCTGAAATCAAATATTAACTATCTGTGATAAAAGCTTCCATAGTAATCTAACAACTCTGTAGAGTGAGCTTTAAATAAAATAATAAATAGAATACTTTATAAATTTTTTATTTATAATTATATTATTATTTACTTTATATTTATAAATAAACAGGGACTGAGCAGGCTGATATTTATTTGATTTAAATTGTTTATTTAATTTAAATAAATTTTGATGATAAATATAAGAGCTTAAAGTAATCAAAGCTTCAACCTTTAATTTATTTTAAATAAAATTTAAAAGTCTTCATAAGAAGAAACCAGAATAGTGATTTACATGCTTAATATATAAATTCAATTTAGAAGTATTCATAATATTAATAAAAATGCAAGGATAGTTATTATCATTGTTTTTCTTTTTCTTTTAATTTATCTAGTTTTTGTTGGCTTTTTTTTTCTTTTTTCATTCTCCTCGTTCATATTTCGTTTGCTTTTTTTCCTTTTTTTAATGTTGAGAACTTTATGTTTTTTATGTGTCACTCCATTGACTATTTTTGTATCTATATAAGTGACACATAACCAAATTCTGTAAATTTACGATGAAATGTTGCAAATTTTTATTAATATGGTTAAATAAAATTTTAAAAAATTAAACATACACACAATTTAAAATAGTAGCAACGTATCTTTAATCTTCTTTAAAGAGAGATTACTAAGGTTTATCGGTCAAATGTTGAAACCAAATTTTTTTCTATTTGCGGTAATCCCACACAATAATTTATATGAATTCGTTACATAATACAAATTAAGGTTTTAAAAACTTTTAATTTGTCTTAAATTATAAGGTTTTTATTCTGCATAGAAATGCTGCTTCAGTTCATCTAAAGTCACACTTGGAAGCTTTCAAAGTGTATGAGGACCTTCGCTAATTTTATTATTTTTTTCAAAATATTTTTACTTATTTATTATTATCCCCTCCATAACAAGACACTTGGGAGTAAATAATACTAAGTATATGGTATAGACTCCAATTTTAACTCTGTAGTCCTAAATTTATAACTTTATTAGACACTGGCAATTAGCTTATTTTTATAACTTGTCCTACAATACTTAAATTTTTTTGCCGAAGCCAAAGATTCGGCAAAAAATTGACCTGGCTTCGGCCGAACCGAAGCTTCGGCACGCCGAAGCCGAAGCCGAAGCTTCGGTACATCCCTAATATTAATATGGCTAAATTAGACGCTATGGTGAGTGGAATAATCCTAGCTGTTAAGTGGGACATCAAGAACTTAATGATATTTACCGACTCGGTAACTGTTCATGGATGGTTAAAAAGTGTGTTAACTGAAAGTCATAGGGTTTGGTCAAATGGACTATCAGAAATGCTAATCAAACAAAGACTTTCATTATTGTGTGATTTAATAAAGGAATACAGTTGGAACATCATGGTGAAGTGGGTTCCGTCCTAAAAAAACAAAGCAGATGTATCGACAAGACGTTTCAAAAAAAGTGGTTAAATGAAATTTCACTAAAAAATGTTATAGAATTATGTGGGGTATATATTGCCGATAAAGTTCATAAATGTCACTCGAAGCATCATTTTGGTGTTAATCAAACAATGTTTACAGTACAACAAAGAATCCCGCGAGTGTCAAGAAAAGACGTTCAAGACTGTGTGCTCAAATGTTGTCAATGTAATCCAATTGATCTAGCGCCAATAAAATAGGAACTTGGAGTGCTAGATATGCTAGATACATGGTATCCTATTGTATGCGATGTGACTCACTATAAAGGGTCACTATACCTAACAATGATTGACTGTGGACCAAGTCGATTTGCAGTATGGAGAATGTTACACAAGATATCAAAAGTATATTAATTCAATTGGATTCCGTATTTAGGGAGCATGGCCCGCAACGAACTATTGATGAACTCAATAGTTCGTTGCGGGCCATGCTCCCTAAATATATATATATATATATATATATATATATATATATATATATATATATATATATATATATATATATATATATATATACACACATATATATAAATTTGTGTGTATATATATATATATATATATATATATATATATATATATATTATATATATAAAAACGGTACTTCTCCTAATATAGTGTGGCTTTGATGACGTTTTCTGTAGCCTTAAACCCACTCTCTTATATACATATAAATATATATATAAATATTATTTTTAGACGATTGGCGGGCAGATGGGTATAGGTGGAAGCAAAATGGCTGCAGTAAAATTCCTCGGGGTTCGCCACTTTACACAAAGATCCATTTTGCTACTGTTACATCAACAGGAATTTCAAATGATTTCCAGAAGTTTGTGTACTGTGATCTGAGTCGGACAGATCTTGTTGTTATCCATTACATTGGTAACCACAACCTTGCAGTTTTAGTTCCACATGGTAAATATATCTTACATTTTGATAATGATTTTATTTTTTATTTTTAAAGTTTTACATAAGTTAACTACTTAATAAAACCTACTTTAAATGAAAATTTTAAATAATAATATTTTTAATTAAAATTCATGTTGTTTAGCCTCCTTTCTTTTCCATTCTAAACTTTGCCTTGTTTTACCCCGCCCTTCACTCATTTTTTATGACCTTCATACGCCAATGTATACACACACACATATATAAATATGTTTGTGTTTATGTATGTATATTTTAGGTAATTCCAGAAAACCAATCAAGTTCTTACCAACAGCTTCATCTGTGCTAGATGCAATTGCTGATTCCCACAGTTACAAGGAACTTCTTCTTGATTGCAAGGATAGCCAGGTCCAATTTCAACCAAGAAATTCAAGGCAGTTTAAGTATGAAACTAGGCACTGAGCCTTTTTTAACATTACATGAACTGGCATATATGATTCCAGGCTTTGTGTGGTCTATATCCACTTATCCTGATTTGTTGGTTTCGTTTGGCATGCAAAATTTAATCAGTCAACTTGTCATGTGCTCTCAAATTTTTTTTTCATATGATACAACATTTAATTTAGGTGATTTTTATTTATTAATTCTAGTGGCTAAATTAAGTTGTTTTGTTGAGAAGCCTTGCATGCCTGTAGCATTTGTTTTACATGACAGGAAGTTTGATAGTGTGCATAAAAGTTTCTTTAAATCTTTAAAAAAAAAATTACCAGTTCTTAATCAGGTTGTGATTGTGACTGACGGAGAGAGTGGAATTGGCAAAGCAATAAAAAAAGTGTTACCAAAATGGAATCTGGTATCTTGCTCCAATCACATTTTGTCTGATATTGAGGTTTGGTTAAAAAAACACAGTGCTTGTCATGCAGAAATAACTGTTTATAAATCTCAAATGCAGGAACTTCTCATATGTGAAAGTGAAATTTGTTTAAAAGTAAAAATTGATACATTGAGACCTTCATGGAGCGAAGCATTCTCAATTTATTTTTCAGATCACTTACACTCACGTATTTTAATATCTTATATTGGTCACCTCAGGTTCGTTGGTTTAACAGATAATATAATTACAAATAATGTATCAGAATCACTAAATGCTGTCATTAAAAGGTTTCAGGATTGGAAAGAAGCGCCTGTTGATTCGATGGTTGTTGCAATGCATCGCCTTCAGACCTTCTATTTGACAGAAATTAAGCGGAGTTGTAGTGGTTTTGGACCCTACACTCTCGTTGACAGCAGTCTCCTAATCAGTATGTCACATTTAATACATAACAACTTTTTAAATCTTATTTGTAATTGTTTTTTTGTTTGATTTTAGAATTATTTAGTAAATATTTACAAAAATGCAATATACTCATGAGTTAGTAATGATGTTTTAAATTGAAAGTTTAAATAATGTTTTAGAAAATGCAGATGACATACCAAAAGTAGAGAGTCCAGAGCTTGTTATTGCGGAGCTGCAAGCAGCTGCCAATATACCAATACAGCAATTCATACCTCCGTCAATATGTGTGCTTTCTAACACATTTAATGTTGTACATGTTCCAAGCCTTAAAGTTTTTACAGTCTCTGCCCCTGATGAAAATGCACATGTTGTGAAGCTGTATCCAAAGGAAAACTGCACGCGTCCTTCTTCAACAATGTGTTGTCACATACCGGCTGTTAAGCGCAGCATTGGAGTTAAATGTAGTGAACGAAAGATCATAAATTTGACCAAATTGCGGCGTAACTCACGGTAAATTAAATTACTCTGAGGTGCCTAATAAAAGAATAATCCTAATAAACAGGGAAAAAATTAGAAAAATAAGAGAAGAGTCTACAATATTATTAAACATGAGACAGTCTAAATAAGGTCTGGGGTAAAAATTTAAATATTTAATATTTGGCATCTCCGAGAGCAATGTTTGTTGTTAAATATATATATATAATCAATTATAAATTCTAATCCTTGATGACATTCAAACAAATGTGATTTATCTTAATATCTAACTTCATTAAATAAGTAATCAATGACTTAACTAATTATGAAGGTTTAGTGAACCTGGCAAAGCTATAAGGTTACTAGGGGTTATAACCTGGAGCTTGGATATTATTTTTTAAAACATATTTGTTCTATATATCTTTAAACTTTATAATTGTATAATAATTTTTTTATGTATGCAAACATATATATATATATATATATATATATATATATATATATATATATATATATATATATATATATATATATATATATATATATATATATATATATATATATATATATATATATATATGTATATATATATATATATATATATATATATATATATATATATATATATATATATATATATATATATATATATACATATGTTTGTATATGTTTATAGATATATAAGAGGAAGAGGTGACTTGAGTTCTCAAAATATTAGATTAATTTGTTTTCCGGATTGCGTTTCAGAAAAGAAAATGCAATAGGGAAATATCTTATCTACATTAAAAATGTCACTTTTAATGTTATTATTTTTAGTAAAAAGGGTGATAAAAAATCAGGTTGCAAGGTGCCAAGAAAAGGCGATTTAAGTTTTATCCCTGCACCAGATGCAGCTGTTAATCTTGACATAAGAAATTTAAATAATTTGAACACAAATCAAATTGTCGACTCAGCGTCTCAAACCTTGCACGATAACCTTTCCTCTGAACCAAGTTTAAATACAGAGATTCTGTTATCTCAAAATGAAATGTAAATAACTTTATTTGTTTGCTTTTTAAATTGTTAGGTGTTATCCTTTTCTTTTTATCTTATATTATTGTGTAAACAATCTTATCTACATTTCCACTATTATTCTATAATTATATGTGTATTAAAAAGGATGCAAAAGAGAGTGAAATTTGATGACAACTGTGTACCAGCGTCTAAAGATTCTCTATCAAATTTTCCATTTTTATCATCAGTTGTGAATTCAGATATGAAACCAACTATACTTGAGACACCTATTTTAATTTGTGATGATACAAACTCAATGGCTACTGCAGATGTTCAGACATGGCTTCAATTTGAAAATCTGAATCTCACCAATGATGATCGAAGCCTTATTTTAAATCCAATGGGGCTTCTCAACGATAAAGTTGTTTTTGCTGCAATGTTATTGTGTAAGCGCCAATTTCCAGATATTAAAGGTCTTGAAGATCCGATTCTGTGCTTTGCTGGTCTATGTAATGCTTCTAGCAGGGCCTTTGTTCAAATTTTTAATGATTCGACAAAAGGACATTGGGTAACTGCCTCTAACCACCATTGTAAAGATAGTCAAATAAATATTTATTGTAGTCTGCAACTTTTTCCGAGTACAGACTGCATTTACTCAATTTCTAAATTTGCTTGCCTACAGTCTGTTGAAATAGAGCTTAACATAAACAATGTAGCCCGTCAGAAAGATCTTTTGTGTGGCTTTTATGCTATAGCAAATTGTGTTACTCTGTGTTTAGGAAAAGATCCTTGTAACTTTAAATATAGGGAGGACTTGATGCGCCAACATTTGCTGACATGTCTTGAAAATTACAAAATAACCCAGTTCCCTGTTGATAGTTATAGAACTGTTAGAAAAAATGTAGTTCGTACCTCAAAATATCCTTTGTATTGTGTGTGTCGTAGTATTTTTAAATCAACAGACTCAATGATCCAGTGTTTGAATTGTAATGAATGGTTTCATTCTTCTTGTGTGGGTCTATCTGAATTAATGTTTACAGAGTACAAGGCAAGTCTGCGGAAGGTTTACAAATGCATTAAATGTTTGTAGAAAACTTTTTTAGATTCTTTCAGCTGTTCTTCAAGATATTTATTAATGTAAATTTTAATATATTAAAATAAGTAGATGAAACTTTTACTAGTATGACCAGATGAGTTAGAATATTATTTAGAGTTATAACAGTGTTATGAGTTTAACCAGTGTTTTGAGTTTAACCAGTGTTATGAGTTTAACCAGTGTTTTGAGTTTAACCACTGTTTTGAGTTTAACCAGTGTTTTGAGTTTAACCATTGTTTAGAGTTTAAAAATAGTTTAATATTTTAGCAGTGTTGATAGTTACAACAGTATTTCGAGTTCAAATAATGGTTAGCGTTAGCATAGTGTTTAGAGTTTTTTTTTAGTGATTCACCTCCCCAAGGCCGAGAAGGCCGCTACAAATGTGGAGGCTACTTAATTGTAGTTCAAACCCTCTCAACTTTATAACTTTGAAACACAAACCTTGACAAACAAGGCCGCTCCGCGGAGAAACAAGTTAAGCGCAGTACTACTAGGGACGTAGTTGGAATCGAACTCAGAACCTCTCGCTTATGAAGCAAGCACTCTATCACTACACCACTTCAACATTAAGTCAGAACAGTGTTTAGATTTATAACAGTGGTTAAAGTTTGAATAATGTTTAGAGTTATAACTGAGTTTAGAAATAGAACAGTGTTTAGAGTTGAAACAGTGTTTAGAGTTAAAAAAGTGTTTAGAGTTATAGCAGTGTTGAGAGTTAAAGCAGTATTTAGAGCTCAAATAATGTTTAAAATTATCACAGTGTTTACAGTTAAACAGTGTTTAGGGTTTGAATAAAATTTAGAGTCATAACTGTGTTTAGAGTTAAAACAGTGTTTAGAGTACGAATAATGTTTAGAGTTAGAAATGTATTTAGAGTTGGTATAGTCTTAAGATTTAGTACAGTTATCAGAGTTTGAATAATGTAAAGTGTTATAATAGTGTTTAGAAATTTAATAGTGTTTAGGTTTTGGACATTGTTTAGAGTTTGATCATTGTTTAGAGTTTTAATAATATTTAGAGTAAAAATAATGTTTGGATTAAGAGTTTAAGAATCAGATTAGGAATCAGTGTTTAGAGTTAAAACAGTATTTAGAGTTAGTACAGCGTTTCAGTTATATATGACAATGAATGTGAAAGGATGCGACATTGCTGAAAGGCAAGATCATAAGCAAATATAGCTACTTAAGATTTGTTTTTTATTGTCCAGAAGATCATTAATATAGATAAAAAAGAAATAATGCTGGACCATAAAAGGTTGTGTAA